AACCACCTTTCTGGGAAGGGCCAGAGTGTGCCTGGAGACCCTCCAGCGGCCCCCCTGGATGCCCATCTCCCACCAAGAAGCTCTTATAAATACCCTCCCCATCCTGTCCCTGCCTAGGAGTCTCTTCCCCTCAGGCCTGGCTGGCACTGAGTCCCCGTTCCCAGTCTCACCAAGCTCCTCCCCAGAGAAGGGACTATGGGTCTGTGTTCTCCCAGCTCCCGCTCCTCCTTGCTCCTTTTGTTTCTCCCTCCTCCTCTTCTGCATCCTCTTCCTTTATCCCTCCCTCCTCCTCTGCATGGCTTCTGCCTCCTTCTGATTACTATTACTTCCTCCTCCACCTCATTCCCCTTGCCTCTCTCTCACCTTCTTCACCTACATCCTCTCACTCCTCCATACTCCTTACCTTTGGATCAGTGCCTGTATTTCCCACCTAGACCCTGAGCATAGACATGGACTTGCCCCATCTTGGCCTCAGCTGGGGACCAGTCTACAGACAAGACACCCAACCTGCTCCCAGGGACCCCTCTCCATCCCTCTTCCTGACTCTTACAAGCCTCCTGGGGGGCTTGGTACTGTAAGAGCTTTGGCACAATCACCCCTGGACACTAGGGCAGAAGAGTGCCATTCCATTCCCAATGGCTGGCACAAGCTGGGGCTGGGAGCAGAGAGGAAGGCAGGATGAGGGCTGGGAGTCAGAATCCTCAAGTCCTAGGAACCCAGGCAAGCCTCCCAGTCACTGCCCAGTCCAGGACCTCCCTGAGTCCGAATTTCCATGTCCCGGACCAGCCGGAATATGGCATTTCTCAAGCTCTTTTTTCCCTCACATCTTTCTGTCCTAGGATTGGGGTGGGCCCTGCCAGAGGACATCAAGGTGTGCTTTCTGATTCAGGAGCTGGGGGGAGGCTCCTGGGCCGTTCTGAGACCTGGAAGGGAAGGAGAAGGATGTCAGAGTGGCAAGAGGCAGGGAGGACTCTTTGCTCAGGGGGCCAGTGCCTCCCACAGGCCTCCCTAGGACCCATCACCTGCTGTAGCAGGGCCCTTGGAGGAAGCCAGATGTGAGGTGGAGTGGGGGGGGGGCTACGTGGGTCACTGGAAGAACCTGGAGAACTCCTACTTAACCCTAAATGAACTCAAAGTCCCTTTGCTCATTCACTCCATTCTTCATTCAATCAACAAACATGCTTTACTCTGGGCAGAAGAATGAACCTGACCCCCACCATCAAGGAGCCCACAGTGGAGGGAAGACAGATACCCAGGAGAAAAACCACAGCACAGCAGGAGCTGCAGGGAAGGGGTTTGGGGGAAGGAGATGGCAAAGGTGGCACCTGCCCCAGGGAGGCAGTGACCACCTGACCAGTGACCAGAAAGTCTTCTTTGAAGGTGATAGTAGTGGGCACTCTGGGTGTTAATCAGGTTAAGGACAAGGAAGGATATTCAAAGCAGGGGCAAGAGCCTGAAAGTGTGAAAGAACATGGCCAGTTCCAGGGCTCTGAGTGGCCTGGTGTGACTGGAGTGGGTGTGTGTATGGAGGACATTGGGGACGTGGCTGGTGGGTGAGTGGTGCCTTCCCAGCTCCTCTTAGGTCTTCCCCTGTCCCCAGTCAGAATGGATTGCTCCTTCCTCTTACCACCCACCATGGGCTGGGCCTCTGATAAGAGTTCCCAGAACTCCCCTTGTATGGCACCCTCCCCCTGTGCCAGGCACTGTGCTGAGCCATTCCTAGGTATCTTCACTTCACACAGGTCTCACAGAAATAACCTTATTTTACAGGTGAGTCAAGCTTAGGCACCTTGCCCGGGGCCACACAGCTGGGACAGCCAGAGCCAAGATTCCCACCTAGGCAGACCTGCCTCCGGGGCCTTGCTGGTGCCCAGTGGTGGGGGTGAGATCGGTGAGAGTCTGACTGAGGATGGGCTCAGCTCGTTCCCTAGCATCGGGTCCCTGAGCAGGGCCTAGCACAGAACTGTCTGTCCTTTGAATGACACAGGGGAAAAGCCCCTCCCACCAGCTCACCTGTATTAGGGAGGCTGCGGGGCTCAGAGATCCCTGGGGGCAGGACACGGACTCGCTGGACAGAGATGTCCAAGGCTTCCTCTTCACTGCTCCAGGAGCAGGATGAGGGGGACAAAAATGCCAAGATCAGATGTGAGGAGCCCACAGGGGGTGGGAACCTGGGGGAGGGTGTGGAGTACTGGGCTGCCCTTACTGGGGTCTGCATCTCCAGCGAGGCCGTCACTGCCCACGGAGGCTGGGCGCCGCAACGCCTCCGAGAAGCTGTGGGGCCGTTGCGGGCCAGCAGTGCGGGCACCTCGGCCCTTCTTTTCCGGAGCCTGTTTGAGGACAGTGCAGAGAGGCTGAAACCCTGAGGAACAAGAGACCGGAACGAACGAACTGCCCTCGACCTCCATCCCGGAAGTGCTTAAGTCCCAGAGCGGGAGGGATGAGTCACAGGTAATCACAGACGCCTGCGATTGGCTCGAGCTCACCACAGAGGCCGGTGATTGGGTCCACAGGACTCACCCGGGGCGGGTCCCTGGCGCTGGGCCTCCCATTGGTTGTGCCCACGTGCACCAGGTGGTTGAAATTGGTGGGCGGTGAGATGAGTTTGGAGCGCACAAAAGGGTCCTTCAGCATCTCCCTGCAGGTGGGCGGAGGGTGTGTAGGGAGTTGGGCGCGAAGCTCAACGCCCCTCATAAGGCGTTTCTTCGCTCCGCCCACAAGAGGCCCCGCCCCCAGCGCCGCGCAGGCGCACCTGCGCTGCTGCTTCTGCAGCTCCTCCGACACCCGGAAGAAGAAGCGGCGCTTGCTCTTGGTGCGGAATAGCTGGCGCCGGCTGTTGTCGGTGAGGTCGGGGATGTGGAACTCGTCCTTCTCTGTGAGAGAAACAGAGAGCAGGGCAGGGCTCACAAGTCCCCAGGGCCCCAATGAGCTCGCGCTCAGGTCACACACACACACTCCCTCACCTGCCAGCTGGTTCCTGAGGTAGGTGAGGCGGACCTTCTCGGTGCCATAGAGGAACAAGGAGCCCTCTGGATTCAGGGGCCGCACCTGAGGTGGCAGGCAGAGGTCAGGCCAAGCCACCCAGCCCCACCCCAGGGCAGCCTCCGGTGACTGGGGAGGCCCTCACCTTCTTGAGCGGCACCGTCTGCACCCATTCTGCTCGCCTCACGTCAAACACATCGATGGCGTTCTCGCTGGACACTGTCAGGTAGGGGGCTGCGTAACCTGCAGGCAGGAAACTGCCTGTGCTGTGCAGCCCCCAGCAAATTAGGCACCTCTCTGAGCTCGTTTCCTCCTCTGTACCACAGGGAACACCTGTGTCCTGTCACAGCACAGTAATTTCCACACTCCACGCAATGGTCCTTCCCCTGAAGACTCTACGTGCTGCCCTACAGGACCTCCACGGCAGAGAGAACAACTGTGGAACATGCACTGCATACCTGGCACAGCTCTAAACACTTGCCATGTTTTTTCTCCCTTAATTCTTTCGTCTCTCTTTCTTTTGAGACAAGATCTGCTATGTCACCCAGGCTGGTCTTGAATTCCTGGCCTCAAGCGATCCTCCTACCTTAGCCTCTAGAGTGGCTGGGATTACAGGTGAACCACACCCAGCTCCCTTAATTCTCAAACTCTGAGCAGGTACTGTTATTATCACCCCTAACAAACAGATGACAGAATGGAAACCTGGGAGCTAAGTAATGGTCAAGGTCACCCAGTGAGGGCTGAGATTTGGCTCCAAGCAGTCAGTCTGGGTCCAAAGCCTACAATGCCGAAAATCTATGCTACACCCAAGCCACAAGCCCCACCCTAGAAGAGCCATTGCTCATGAAGGAAGCTCTGTCCCTCTCTTCCACCCCTTAGCTCATCACAGCAGTTACTTGTGAATGCACCTAACTGCCAGACTGACCCACTACCCCATTCATTCATTCCTCCAAACATTCAGAGTCCTGGAGTGTGCCTGCCTGGGCTGGGTGCTGGATATAGATGATGAAACCAACCCAGGCCATTCCCCAGACCCCCAGTGCACTAGGCCAGCCATTCAGTAGGAGGTGATGAGCCAAGACACAGGTCTGAACAGAGAGGTAGAAGAGCAGAGAAGGGAAAGACCAGTGACATGGAGGGCAGGGCTGGGAGCATGAAGGCACTAGTAACAATGACAGCAAGGGCAGCAGTCATCTTTGGAGTGCCTACCAGCTCCAGGCCCTGCATTGACACTGTAGCTTGATTTGGTTAAGAGTTTGCTGGATACAAAAGGAAGGAGAGCAGCTCAGGCATGGAAGAAGAAAGTCCCACACAAGCCACCAAGAGCAGGACAGGCTATGGCTGGGCTGGAGGATGTGCTAGGGTGTGTAGGGCTTCCAATACCAAACTCAGGAATTGGGGCAGGAACCTGTCTTCACCCATATACCAAAGGTGCCTGGCCCCCCAGCCAGGCCCTCTGCAGGCCTTACCCCAGCCCGTGGGTGCTGCTGGCCACAGCAGTTCATGGCCACGAGACTTGCAGCCTGTGCCATCCACGTAGATGCCAGCAGTGGTGAAGAGCAGCAGGAACTCACTGAGGCTGAGCTCCAGGGCGCCCAGTGCCTCACCCAGGCCCCCTCGGGACGGCGGCAGCTCCTCAGGCACCAGACCGGACCCCAGCACCAATGGCGCAGCCTCATTGAGCAGCGGGTAGAGTGTGAAGCCACCAGCGGCACCCACACACAGCCGGTCGCCCAGCAGCCCCAGGCTCTGCACAGGTGCGGGTGCCTGCAACTCACGGATGCGGTGCTGCCAGGGCCCTGGGCCTGGGCCCAGCTGGTAGCAGAGCACTTGGCGTTTGACGGCCACACAGAGCACTGGGGTGCGATCCTGCAGGATGCGCCCAGTTACCACTACCTGGCAGCCTCGAGACTCGGGGATCTTGGCACCTGCTGCCTCTGTGCTCTCCAGCTCAGCCAGGGCAAAGAGGCGCACGCTGGGGCCCCGGCCACACAGCACGATCAGCAGGCCCGCTGTGGGGCTCACGGCCAGTCGCTGTACCCGCCGGCACTCCCCTACCTGGAAGATGTCTGCAAGGTTGTCGAGGGGAGAGTGTCAACCACAGGTAGGTGGGAAGTAGCACATCCCCAACCTCCTCTGTCCCCTGGGCTGACCCCACCCATGCCCACCCTTGGCACATACCATTGCTGCGCAGATGGATCACAAACAGCCCCTCCTCGGTGCCCAGAGCAAGCCGCTCCTGGTCTGGTGGAGGGAGAAGGTGGGGGGTCAGAGGGTCTGTCCAGTGGTGGAGAAACTGGGTAGTCTACCTGCCCTTGTTAAGCCTGTTTCTCTTGAGGAGGTGGGGGTGGTAATAGTCCCACTGACCCTGTATCACCAGACCCTTCTCTCCCTTGGCTCTAAAGAGGGAGAACCACGGGGGGAGGGGGAGGTGAGAGGCCCACCACCTTGAGACATGGGATTTGGGGTAAGTCACATCACTTCTTGGAGCCTCAGTTTCCCCTTATGCAAACTGGGGACAATGATGGTGCCTCTCTCACAGAGCGGCTGTGAGGAAGAGAAGCAGCAATGCTGGTGGCTGGGAAGCAGAGCCCTTGCTCAGTAACGCCCTAACCCCTCCAGCTCCCAACTGACCCAGGGGACCCACACAGCCTCTCCCATGGCTCCCACCCTGAGCGAGGGCAGGGCTGGCTCAGGGGCTCAGCTGTTAGGGGAGGCCTGGGAGTGCTGCTTCAGGCATCTTCCCAGCTGTAAGTCATGGAGGGGCCCTGCTGAACGTAAGTGAGCCTCATGGCAGCTCCACCCAGGAGATGTGAAGCTCCGGGTGGCTGGTTCTTAGGCTGCCCATGGTCTCCTAGCTGCTAGAGAGAGCCAGGACCAGAACCCTTGTTTGTCTCATTCAAAGCCCTTGCTCCTTCCACTTGCTTGAGATTCTTTTAGAAAAAGCAGAAACTGAGGTACAGAGAAATGCAGTGGCGAGATGCCAGGCTCCCTGCCCGATGGCCCAGGACTCTTCACACAGCTGTGCGCAGAGGATATCTGTGCAAAGCTGGGTCCATGGCTCATGTCTGCAGGGAATGGGTAGTGACGGTGGCCCTCTAGACTGTGCCTGTGCCAGCACCAACCCTATGGGCCCAGATTGCTCCCTCGAGCCAGCTCACCAAGGATGGCAGCACAGAGCGTGTGGGGCAGCAGTGGCAGCCCGTTGTCGTAGGCCTCTTTGAGTGTGTACACGGGCCGGGGTCTTGGCCGTGTGTCCAGCAACAGCCGCTGCAACTCGCCCAGCATGTGCAGCCAGCGCTCCCGCTCCTCCTTGCTCTCGGCCAGCAGCAACACGGTGCACATGGCAGGTGGCACGGTCAGCTGGGAGGCTGTCACCTGCAGGCAGGGTCCAGGCTGGAAGGCTGTGGGCTGAGAGCCTGCCATCTTGCCTCCCTTCTAGCCTCCACCAGCCAGTGTGCACAGGAACTGAGTGTGCACTCGCTGGGTGCAGTGCTAGGCCCTGTCCACAGCAGGGGACAAGCTGGTCAGGTGGTCACATAATATGCAGACAATTGCAGAGCCCCGTATGACCAGCACCATAATAGGGTAAGGACGGGCCCTGTGGGAACAAGAGTACAGCCCCTACCCCAGGCCAAGAGGTGAAGGATGACTTCCCAGGGGACGTGAAACTTCTGCCGGAGCCTGAGGGGGAGTGGACTAACCAGGATTTAGTCAAGGAGGGTGAGGGGCTGGGGACTGGTGGGGGCTGGCAGTTCCATACAAAGGGAACAGAACGTGAAGGACTGAGGATAAGGCGAACAGGGGTACAGGACACCCTTGGAACTGGAGAAAGCAATGTGTGGCCAGAGCAGGGAGAGATGCAGGGGGAGAGGGCTGGGAGGCCTGCAGGGTCAGATCCGTGGGGCCTCAAGGCCTCAGTCAGGAGCACCCTGAGGGTGATGGGAGCCACAGAAGGTCCTAAATAAGGCAGGATATATCCAAATTCTCATGTGGGAAGCTCGCTGTGGCTGCAGGATGGAGAGCTCATCGGGGCCAGAATGGAGGCCACTGTGGCCATCACGTGGAGAGGGAGGACAGTGGCTGGATGGGAGACAGCATGAAGAGGCAGATAGTGGCTGGCCCATCACATCACAGGCACTCACCCTAAAGATTCGTGGCAGGTCCTTGGACTGGGCATGGATGACATCCGAGGCCAGGACAGGAGTGGCTGAGAACTGGGGGTCCCTGGGAGGTCCATGGAGCAGGTTAGCGGTCTCACTGTCCCCAGCTGCCCCACCACTAATCCCAGGCTGTGTCCTGCTGCCACCACCCACCTCAGATCCAGCGCCTGCAGGAGGGCCCCGCTGGCCGGGCTGAGCCGAGGGTCAGGGGCGTCAAATAGCAGCAGGCGCGAGTTGCTGAGGGCAGCAAACACCCGCTGCCAGCCCCGCCGGACGCCAGAGGGCCGCGGCACCTGGGGGAAGGCAGGCATGGGAGGGCCCGTGCCAGCCCTCAGCCCCCCGTGCCGACCCCCTCCCCCAGCCCCTGCTCACCGACAGGAAGCCCTCGTAGGCAGTGCCCGTGCCCGTTTCGGGGTGCACTCCCAGGGCTGTGTGGAGCAGGTCAGGGGGCACGGGGCAGGGCGGGGCCTGTGGGGCACAGGTTGAGTGACAGAAGTAGCCGCAGGCTGTGGGGAAAGTGGGAGAGGGCAGATAGAGTGAAACTGGGAAGGGACAGCCTCGAGCCAGGATTCTAGGCATTCCCAGTCCCAGCTTCCCTGAGGCCATGATGGCACCTGAACTGTCACCAATTCCCTGACAAGTGAGAAAAGAAAAACAAAAACTGAGCAGTGGGACAATGGACCAGCAGGTGCCAGAGATCCTGGGTTGGCAGAAACGGCCTGGGTGTGTCTGGGTCACACTCATGGGGGCTGTGGCTGGAGTGCGGGGAATGGGTGTGTGGAGGGCTGGGGCTTCTCACCATCACAGCCCAGGCCCTGACGGCCCAGGCCCAGCATCAGTGACGTGCAGCGGAGACACTTAGTGGGGGATGGGAAGCTCCGGAGGCGCAGCATGTGTGAGCCAGGCTGGGGAAGGGGAACATGTCATGACCCATGCTTGCCACAGCCTCCCAGGGCCCTGTGCCCGTCCCTGAGAGCTCATACCACCCCAAATATGTCTGCCAGTCATGATGTGCATGGAAGGTCCCATGGAGCTTGGCAAAATAGCTTGGCACCCCAGCCCCACTCAGCCTGCTATGTGCTCACCTTAGGAGGAGGACCTTCTGCAGGGGCTGTGGTGGCTGCAGGTACTCTGGGGAACACAGCCTGCTGGAGGGGAAGTGAACAGGTGAGAAGGGCAGGGGTGGGGCCCAGCCCCCACCAGGGAACCTGGCTGTGCTCACCCCTGAGCGCAGGCTGCGTCGGCCCTCTGGCCTCAGCTCTGGCTCCACCCCAGACCTTTGGGCCTCTCCTGAGACACCAGCCTCCTTGACAGGATCCTTCTGGGGATGGGAGAGGGAGGGACAAAGTCAAGACCCTGCACCTCGCTTCAGGACTCCTCCCCAACCAGCCCTTCTCCCTGTCTCTTACCTCAGAGCCCCGGAAGGACAAGAAGGGAATCAGGGAGTTTGATGGCTTAGGGTCTGCAAACAGAGTGTAGGTTACTGGGGGTGGGGTCCCTGGCCTAGTGAACCTGGGGCCAGCAGCGGCCTCAGTTAACCGCCTGAGTAAAACAGGGAAAGGACCACAGGCTGGGGACAGGGCTAGCACACAGCAGGTATTCAGTGAGTGCTGGTGACAGATGGCAGGGTAAGCAGCAGAGTCCAAGTACAGACTCCTGTCCCACAGCCCTGCCAGGCCATTGCCAGAGCCTCTGGGTGACCACGAGGCTGTGGTGGGGGCCTGGCTCCAGAATGGGCAGGCAGGAGTCACTCACCCCCTGGCCCACGGGCCCGCAGCTCCTCCCGCAGTGTGGCCAGCTCCTGCTGCAGGGCCTGGCGCTGCTTTTCAGCCTCCTGCAGACGGCTGGGGGAGAACGGCAAGGGCTCGCCACGGGCCTCTGCAAAGTGCCCGACCCTGAGGTACCTGCCCCCAGCCTCACCGCTCGGCCTGCAGCTGGGCCTCCTGCACCTGCGTCAGCCGCTCCTGCAGGCCCTGCTTGGCGCGGATCTCAGCCTCCAGCGCCGACTGCAGCTCCAGTCTGGCTGAGGCCTCCATCTTCTGCAGCCGTCGTGCCTTCCACTGGTGGTCCTGATGGCCATGGGGCACACGTGCAAGATGCCCTCTGGGCCCGGCTGCCTCAGGGGCCTACTGCCCCAGAGCACACCACTGCCATGCCCTCTGACCAGGCTCAAAGCCCCAGCTCAGCCACTGACCTGCTGTGAGCTCAGTGTCCCCACCTGCAGAGTGACGCTACTGGCACCCCCCAACCCCCAAGAGTGTCCCTGGGGCTCACCAGCGGCCGGGCAGGGAGCGTCTGGGTGCCCACGTTCCGCAAGGACTCCAGCTCCTCAGCCATCTTGGTGGCCAGGGCCTGCAGGTAGCCTCTTGAGACCTTTTCATCATTCACCCTGTTGGGAAAGGGGCTCAGGGTTAGGGGCTGGGCCTTCAGCCCTCCCCAGGCCCACCCTGGCCCACCAGCACCCACCAGCGGAGGATGTCGGCGATCTGGGCCTCCCAGTTGCTCTCCGTCTCCCGCCGCTCGCCCTCCAGCTGCTGCTTACTCTGCTGCTCCTGCGCCAGCTCTTCCACCAGCTGGGGGCCGGGCGGGAAGGTGGCTCAGCCCCCGGATGCTCCGGCAGCACTGGCCATCTGCTTTCTCCCCATAGGACCCCCAGCACCCTGAGCCCCATGTGTGTCTGCCCTTGCTCACCTGCTACGGCCTGCCTGCCCAGCCCCTGGCAGCTCCGCCCAGCCTCCTGCTGGTTGTCCTACCCTCTCTTGTCTACCCTGTCTTGTCCCTCTGTCTGCCCTGCTTACCCGCTCCTGCTCCCGGCTCAGCCGCCGGTTCTCCTCCTGCAGCCGGCACAGAGCCTCCTCCTTCCCACTTGGCCTAGAGAGGAGAAGGCCGAGGCAGTGACTCCCAGCCCGGCCTGGGACCAGCCTGTCCCCACCACCCCTCC